CCCCAACCAACCAAACCCCCAACCCCTGGGGCATTTACTGTTATGGAAAACTTATCACTGAGGAAAGAAACCCGGGAAACTCTGCAAAATAAACTCTGGAACAAAGTTGGTGGTTCTTGTGCTGTCAGCAGAGGGCTTAAAGAGCTGCAGAGGGTCTAACATCTGTGAAGAGATGTACCTACTTCTCCTACTGCTAAAAGCTTCTGCAATACCTGCCACTCACTCCTCCATCATTCCCAACTACTGTCCATTTCCACTAGCAATGCCGTCCCCCAAGAGTCAGCACCTTGTACTGCTGCTGATTGCTGCCCAGCTTCAGTCTGAAATACCCTAAGTTAATTAAGCTACAGAAGTATGCATTTTAAAGGTCAAGAGTTCCCGATCAATCCTAGGAATTTAAGAAGGGGATAATACTGCCCAAAGATGCTAAGCAAAACTTGATCTTCTAGGGATACTTGTTTCATTTTCAAAGGTCGAGAATGAATACAGATTCTCGATATTCTTTAGTATAAGAAAATACCAGGGATACATTTCTTTGACTCAGTAAAAAGTCTGGCGTGTGTTCTATTAAATATAATGTTAACAGGGAGATAAATTCCTTCCTTAGTAGACCTCCCTAATGAGAGCAACCTTGAAAGGTGACAGGCTGTTACAGACTCAAACTGTTGTGTATAAATCTGTTTTGATGTAAATGTGCAACAGACTGACAACTGATTGAGACACATATACATAACAACATAAATACTTCTTCAAAAGCTTAAGATTTGTTTCTAAAAAGTGATAGTCTCTGCATCATGTCTTCCAAAGACATGGAAGTTGAAGAATGCCTACCAGGTGCAAAAGAATTCTTCCACCTGACCATCTTGCAGATGTCAGAGGTTTAGTAGAGTTGTGTTCCTTTTTTTCTGGAACTAGATATCATACAAAAGGATAACTGAAAGAGAAAATAACAGCTAAAGTGTAAAAGGTAGCAAATTGTATCCCAGAGATACTGACAAATACTCAAAACAACCAATATTTGAATTTACAGCTGTTCCTCTTTTACAAGGTTTCATCACTGTTTAGTACAGAAAGTCTTGAAGGGGAGGAAGAATACAAATCCCAATGACATACTGTTTCTTTGTACAGAAAGTATTTAGAAACTACAATGCCAGTGAAGTATGACCACAAGATTTAGCAGCAAGCCTTAAAAGTTTAGGTCCTTATTAAAAAAAGGCAATTTCATGTTTTCAATTTTTTTCTCAAACAAGAGATTTCCTTGATGAACGCATTAACAGCTTCTTTGCTTCTAGCAAGACATGGAAAGATGAGAAAGCACTGTTAGAAAAACATTCTAACCTGCTCTAAACCAACTGTCCTTCCTTCTTTCCTGTTCAACCCATATACTTACGAAACTTATCACTTAAGTAACACCAACTTAATGTACCAAGAAATGTAATAGTGGATAGAGATTTGTCTCTCTTTGCTCGCTTTGGTTTGAAAAAGAGGAACTGAGGATGATTATGTGGGTTGGGCACTTTCAGTCACAAGTTGCTTACATGCATGACTACCCTTAGAAATTTCTCTTACTTCATTATTTTTGACTCACACATCATTGACACAAGACCTACGACAATGGGAGACTGCAAAGACCATGAAGAATAATTTTGGAATAATTCATTTGACAACTATGTTTGTGGGAAAGAACATCAGTAAAAATGCTGTACAGGTAATGCAACTGATCCTTTTCATTACTTAAAGAGCAAAAAGGTTCATTAATTTTTGCTGTAGGGTATTTCACATTTGAATAGTTATATTTAAGTGACATTCTAGCTTTCACATGAAAAACTTAGAAGGTCTCCTCCTAGATAATTAATTATAGCCTTCAAGTCTAGTGAGGAGACACAGGAAAAATACAAAGTCTTCAACTGGAAAAAAAAAATTACATACTGAGGAGATTTACACAGGGACTATGTGGATTACAAGAACTTACCAACAGCATTATATGTTATCAGTATATGCTAACCAATTGCTTTTATTTTTGAAAATTTAAAGATGGACCTTGTTAGTAATTTTCTAAAAAAAAACCCCTTTCCCAGAACATGTCACTTTGTCAGCCAAAGAACTGTTTAAATGTCAATAAAATTTTACCACAAATCAGCCTAATTTTCTGTCAGCCTTTCTAGAAAATCAGGCTGCCTGGAGGACACAGAAATTTACAATTCATTCTGGAAGCATCAAAACAGTCTTATGTATTGTACTTCCATGGAAGAATTTTGTGTCTTTGGGATGGTAAGAAGTAAATTAATGTCACTATCTTACATTAATATATTTAGAAATATCACCATAGAGTAATTTAGGTTGGACAGGAATTCTGAAAATCAGTCATCTAGTCCATCTCAAAGTCAAGTCCAATTATACCAGGTTGCTCAGGACTTTGTCCAGTTGAGTTCTGAATATCTCCAAGGATGAAGATTCCACCACCTCTGGGCAACTTGTTCCAGTATTGACCACCCTCACAGTAAAAATATTTTTCATAATAGCTAATTGAGTTTTCTAGTGCTCCATCTTGTGTCCATTGCCTCTTACTCTACTGCCGTGCACGTCTGAGAGGGGTCTGGCTCTGTTGACTCTGCACCATCTCGTTAGGTAGTTGGAGACCCCAACAAGTTCCTCCCCAAGCCCTCTATTCTTAAGGCTGGACAAGTCCAGTTCTTTTGGCCTCCCCTTCTACATCAGGAGCTCCAGCCCCTGATCATCTTGGTGAATCTCTGCTGGACTCCCTTCAATATGTCGGCGTCTTTCTTGAACAAGCCCCAAACTGGATGCAACGCTCCAGATGTGGTCTCCCATGCGCCAAACAGAAGGGAAAGATCACTCCCCTCCATCTGCTGGCTATCCTGTTGTTAATACCACCTGGGATGTGGCTGGCTGGCACGTTGCTGACTCCTGTTCAATTTGTTACCCACTAGGACCTTGAGGTCTATTTCTGCTAAGCTGCTTTCCAGCCAGTACTGGCATATGGGGTTATTCCATCCTAGATGTGGGGACTGCACTTGCTTTTGTTGAACTTCGTAAGGTTCTTGGGGATCCAACTCCCAGCCTGCCCTCCAGTGTATAGGCTATTCCCCCAAATTTGGTATTGCCTGTGAACTTGCCAAGGGATGCTACTATTGCCAGTTGCCAGTTGGACTTTGAACTGCTGATCACATTTCCTTGAGCTTGGTGTGTCAGCCAATTTTCCACCCACCTTATAGTCTGTATCTCACCAATTTGTCTATAAGGATACTATAGAACAAATAGTGAATACTTAAGATTCCAACTAGTATCTTGCCTAAAATAACTCACAGTCCTTCTAGATAATACAATTTGTTATTGGGTGATAACAGACAAACAGGATAGTCTGCGAAGTTAAACTAAGGGCTGTGAATCATATAAAATATCTATTACAAACTACAAAATAAGTATTTGCATATGGGAGCTGTTTCACATGAAAGAGAAGTTAATGATTCTATTCACATAAAAATACAAGTTAGATAAAACCCTAGAGTTCAGAAAACCAAAGTTTATTCAGGAATGTCTGTACAGACAGCTTTGTGAGCCCAAAGGTTTGTGTATTTTTTTCCCCAGTGAACACCAGTTAGTCTAATAAAAGATATTACCTCTGTCTACACACTTGGCCTCCCTCACATAGAATGATAATTTTATTCCTATGGTGTGCAATTGTTAGCATTTTTAACTCACTCTCTCAGAATTAGAAAAAGAAAATAGAAAAACTGAAGCTTACCTGGAGCAGAGGAAGTACTGCTGTGCTTCAAACTGCTGTTTGGAAAAATGAAGAGAAGTGTATCTAGGAATCATAAGCTTGATATAGCTCAGTATTATAAAGTAAATAATTATTGTTCATGTACAGGTAGGAACAATGAATGAGTTGAAAAGATATTGTCAAGGAAAAAGGAGGCAAGAAAAAGGAGTTTCCTCTTAAATGAAATCTGAGCATTATTTTCAGTATGCAGTCACTTAAACAGTATCATCTGTATTTATATTTTATATAGAAATGTAGCATATGCAGTCAAAAGTGCTTTAAAATATTAGAGACCTTATCTATAGTCTAAGTAGATGGTGGAGTGGAATAAATAAGTAGACTGTGTTCTTGGATGATGGAGCTTATTTTCATAGAATTAAATATGGCAAGTTAAACATTTCACCATTACATGCTACAGTACTCGCACATCATGGTTCTATTTTTATTATTACACTGATGTAACTACACTAGAGCAAGTGTATCTAGCCCATTAAGTATCACTGCTGATAATTAATATATATTTTATTGCTTCTTTAGAATATTTTTAATGCCTGTTTGGTAGAACAAATGACATCAAATGACATCAAATGACAAACTATACAAATCAAGGCCGACAAGAAATTAATTTTTTTTCCACCCGACATGAATTTCTTTCATAGAAAGTAGGATATAGTCTGATGCTAACTCATGTATATTTTTGAAATTTCTATGAGCCGGAATAGTTGCAAGGAATGTGGCATGAAACACAGGGTCCAAGAAAAACAATATTAAAAAGCTGAAACATGCATTAATTTGAACACTCTGAATAACACATCCTTTAACTGCGCAGATTATAAATGTGTACAATATGCTAGTGTTTATTTATCTTTTAAAATTCAAATATATGTTAGTAAAATCATTGCATGCATTATTTCCACACATTTTATTCACATGACAGATCTAAAAATAATTTTATGAACCATAAGATCATTTGACAGGTATAAAAGAACAGTTAAAACCAAAACATTTGTTTGCTTTTATGGTAAAAAGGCCATCATTATGGTGAAAATAACTTTCTTCAAAGAAAAGCTCCCCAAAGGATTACTTTAAATAATTTTGGAAAAATGCTATGGTGATGTTTTCTTCTGCAGCTTCTTGTACCATACAGGTGCCTCTTTATTTGTCTGTAAAATACAGAATGTTTTAATTGTGAGACAGTGAAAGTCAGAAGAAAAACATGCAATCTACACTAAAGTCTCTTTCCTTCCTATGTAGTTCACAGTGATAATTGAGTTCTTTGGTTAAATGCAAATAAATTAAAAAGCAAGACTATGCATTTAAGGTTATTAGTACTACTACGTATCTGTACTAAAACCTCCCTATTTCTAGGTTATAAAAAACAGATTATACAGTAATAAGTAAATGATTTGCTTTAAAATATCAATCACAATGAAAACATGCATCAACTGTGCCATAAATAAGTTTCATTTGAAATAGCATCATCTGACTTTGCCAGTTGAGAATGGGATGGAACTTAGAAAAGAGATATTAGGTGTGCCATACTTGACCAGCACTTTATGCAGAAATACACTTCTTAGAAAATTATAATTAAAAATAAAAGAATCCAGCAGTTTTCTGACAGTGTAGAAAGTATTTTAATCGCAGAGAATTATCTGTGAGCAACTTTTCCTTGCCTTCAGAATCCTATAGGCTACTGCTACTCAGTCAGGATCGCTTAACATTCTTGTGGCAAATTCAGTGGTTGTTTGTATACAGAAATAAAAGTGAAGAAGTGGAGGTAGAACAAGGTAAGGATTATTCTGCTTTCAGGGTTGGGTATAATCTCTTGCGTTAGTGACTACTGTCTCTTTTGTCTGTTGTCCCTAAACTTGTCTCTTTCTAGGTCTCTTTGCTGTCTGCTCTCTATTCGTTCTTCCCTCCAAGACTTAATAACCATTAATTTTAAAAATTGACTTTATTCAGCTGGCCTTATGGTGGGGGTTCTCATCACATTTTAATCTCCATCTTTCTCTTATTTTGAAAATTTCAGTTACAGATATAAATCTGCTCTATTTGTGCAAGCTTTTAAAATTCTAGAAATTGACCTAAATTGGCAGCATTTTTACAGGACTACCAACTTCTTTCTCCACCTAAGAAGAAAGCCTGCCATCTGCCCATTTTTTGTTTCCTACTCCAAAGTCTGAAAAAATAATTTTTCAAAGAGAAATTGGTCACAATTTCTAAACGTAGAAGCATTTTTTTTAGATTCCTACACCATTTCTATATCCCTAAGTAAGACAGGACTGATTAAACACTGAAACCCTGGATCATCTACACAACCCAATTGTTAGCTCACATTTTTGTTCTATTTTAGATCACTGAATAGCTCCGTCGAAGACAAAGTTTGGGCAATATGATTTAGCACTACCGAAAGGACTGTAGATGAGACAACACTGGCTATGTCTGTGTTTAGTCTCATAACACTATCCAAGCAAATCTGAACCCTTAAAATCCCCAAATGCCCTCACATCATGTCCAAGAGATGCAACCATTTCCTACATTTTGTGTTATAAAAACAGTATCTGATGTGCTGCAATACAAACCTCATATTGTTTAAGAGACTGAATTTTAAACTCTCCACCAGGAAAAAAAAGAAATGGAAAAAAAAAATTATATAGATATATATTTGGACCAAAATAACACATATGCTATGCAGAATGGATACAACCAGTCTATCCTAGAGAAACGTAGCCTCGAGAAGTAAATAAGAGTCATGATTTGTTTTGTGATTCAGCATTGCAACTGGGCTTTCAGTTCAGACACCATCATAGTCAGAATCTTCTAAACCATTTTCATGAAGCTTTCAAATACTAGAGGCACTAAATCTGAAGCAGACCACTTGAAGTATTTAAATTCAAGCATTTAGTTTCTAAAGGAATAAAATGGGGTTTTATAATATCAGGTATCCTTAGTAACAGAAGCGATAGCAATACCGGGCATGTATTTTTTTACATGTATTTATATATATACACACACATTAATATACATATATACATGAATGTAAGTATACATAAATATACCTACTTCCTCACTCCTGCTGCTCAATATACATATACACACACTCAACTCATACGTGATCACGGTAGATACATAGTCTGTGGATCCCTTCAGCTTTTAAAATTTTGCTAATCAGTCTTAATATTGTAATATAATGGCATTTTTTAAAAAAAATCTAGTTTGCTGTGAACTTAAGGTGTAGCAACTATCAAATAGCTAAATAACATCATAAACTGTAATTTATCTCCCCAACATTGACCATTCCCATAAAGAGCTGCAAGTATTCAGCTGAATTAATTATAGATCTCCTTGAAGTATGAACCCACATTTTTCTTTTTAAAAACATGAGGAGAATTACCAAAAAAGCTTATGGCACTTACTGTTAATCATATTACTTACAAATAATGTTGGCTTAGGTGTAAACACATTTTCTTCTTCACGTTCTGGCAGCAGTTTTACTGAAGGGTTTGATTTGTTTTTTGCAGTTGCACTTTTTACATCCGTATGAGACTGAGGTAAATTTTGTTCATAGCGTTTACCATGCAGACTAATTAGAATCTGTTTCATTGTGGCTAGTTCCTATAAAACCACAAAAGAACAATGCTAAGTTACTCAGTAAAATTACATTTGAATCTATTAAATATTTATTTGTTAAGAATAAATTTATATTCACCAAACTAAATATGTAAGTGGATCAGTAAATCTAACAAGCATGAATATATACTTGCCATAATTAATGAGATTACTAATTGGACACTAGTAAAAGTAAGAAAATAAAAAAGGCACATAGGATTTATACAACTCAAATTTTGTATTGTTTAAAGGCTGTAAAAGAGAACATTTACTGTGCAATAATGAACCCACTATCTCTTTTAAATTAAGCTTCCATTTAATTTAAAAGAATTCTTTTGAATGCTAGGTCTTGCACAGAAGTCTTACAAATGCATTACTAGAAATATATACGTGTCTTTATATCCAGATCAGAAAGTAAAAAATCAATTAAAAACCTTAAGAGGACCTACAGCAAAAATGGGAACAGAGTGGGAAAAAAAGTTTGGTGAAAAATGAAAGTTTCAACATGGGAAAATTAAAACAAGAGCATATAGAAATACAGACTTTTTTGATGTTCTAATAATTTGCTTTGTAAACAATTTGGATTAATTAAAAAAGTAACCTTTTCTTACTACTTAGCTGAACAAAACAGATTATTCAAAATGTACAGTAGAGTGAGAAAGGAAAAAACATAATATTTTGTGACTGTAACTGGCCATCTTCTTTTGTCACCTTGCATCACCTAGTGCCTAACATTCTCTCCCCCCACGTAATAGGTGTAATTACTATAAAATAAATGACAGAATTTAAAGCATTATTTATTATTTATTGTACTATTGTTATTTAGAGCATTCATTATTGCAGAACTAGAATAGCAAGGTCAGTAGAAATGCCTTTCAAAGTAAATTTTAAGACAATTTTACATTTTTTTAACTATTAATGTTTTTGCTTGCTTTTTACAAATGCTGTTGTCTTCCATAAGCAATATTGTTAATGTATTAGCACTCCATATAACTAACATTCTATCTTATCTCTCAACCAGAACTGGGTAACTCATATTTATAGCTGAATGACAAACATTTGTTATATCTTACCTATTTCTTAATACTTGCCAGCAAATTAAATTGATGCACATTCTATTTTCATTGCATTATTAGCAATGAATTAAAAAAACCCCTCAGCCTTTTAAAACATTCCTGCCATATACCTTCTCTCTGTCCACTACTGCCTTTAATACAAGATACAAAGTCAAACGAATCATGTTGTTGCCTTTAAATTGTCCCACGCTAACTCAGTTATGTGAATGGATGTTACACTCCACAGACCGGCTTTACTGAGTGTACAAATTGTTCTTGTATCTCAGTCATTTAATATTAACTATTTGCATAATTCAGCCATGTGTGGTGGCATGTTGAAACAGCATGACTGCAGAGCAGCTGTTTAGAAGGACTGCATAGTTGATGCCAACATGTTTTTCAAAGTTGTAAACTCCGCAAAGATGTTGCCAAAGCAACACATAGACAGAATTTCTTGATGAAAATAACTCAAGCAAGTATACAGCAAATAAATACACCATCACAGGAGATTAAATTGTACATAAACAATGTTTTGACATTAACAAGTGCTGTTCCTATACTTAAACTGCGTTATTCTGTGGACCAAATAGTTGCACGTTTGAACAAGGCAAAACCCAAAAACTGTCATGCAGATTTATTTCAGAAACAGAGTTGAAACCTGTATGCGTAGGGTCAAATTCTCTTGTGTCAAGATACACTCAGCAGTCTAAGGTCTTCTCTACTTCACAGAATCTGTCCTGTACTTGACAGCCCTGTCTGTTTTCAGACTTGGAAGAGGCTCTGGAGAGTCAGCTCTCACACAAGCTTCTCCTGTGACAGGAGAATTCTCTAATGCGAAGCTAGGGGAAGGAATGACAGGGAGTGGGGATGACAAATTAGCCCACAACGAATAAATTATTTTGGCATCACAGCCAAATTTATCATGAGAATTTAGCTAAAGTTGCCTTAATATTTGTTCTAAAGTCTTTCCACGTTTAGTGAGAAAGACCTTAAACTTGGCAAAATAGCACAGGAAACACTGAATCCAACAGAATCATTGGTATGTGTACTGCTAAACAAGAAAAGAAAATTGCAAGAAAGTTGCTGTTTTGAACCAAGGGAATACTGAAAACAAAGTTCTGTCTGGAACTGCAATAATTTTACTCATCTCTTTAGATTTCTCTGCTCCTGAACACAATCTTAATTCTTAGCTTCACTTTTAAGTTCTAAACAAAGAGTCATTAGCACTACCTGCTACTGTTAGCATGCTACCATGATTCAATAATATTTTCCAACCCTAAAAACTGGCAAGTTGGTCTAGAAAGCTAGCAAGGAAAAAGCAGCAGCTCTGGCGATGGTGCTTAGCAGACATGCATGAACTTGTTCTAGTGTGAACAGGACCTTGAGAAAAAAGGGGAAAGTAGGTATAGGGTTCAAAATGGATGGGAAGAATCTTTTGTGTATGCATTGGGTCTGGCTGAGATGGAGTTAATTTTCCCCGTAGCAGCCCTCGCAGTGCTGTGCTCTGCATCGGTAGCTACAAAGGTGTTGGTAACACACAGTGTTTGGCTACTGCTGAGCAGTGCTTGCACAACATCAAGGCTGTCTCCCCAACATTTCCCCGTCTCACCAGTAGGCTGGGGGTGAGCAAGATCTTGGGAGGGGACGTAGCCAGGACAGCTGACCCAAACTGACCAAAGGGATGTTCCATACCATATCACATCAGCTCAGCTATAAAAGCTAAGTAAAGGGAGATGGAAGGGGGACATTTTCATCCTCTGGAGCAGCCACCACGCGTACGGAATCCCTGCTTCCCAGGAGGTGGCCAGACATCGCCTGCTGATGGGAAGTAGAGAATAACATCTTTTGTTTTCCTTTGCTTTCGTGTGCAACCTTTGCTTTTGCTTTATTAAACTATCCTTATCTCAACCCACGAGCCCTTCATCATATTTTTCTCTCCCCGGTCCAGTTGAGGAGGGGACCGATAGAGCGGCTTTGGTGGGCACCCGGTGTCCAGCCAGGGTCAACCCACCACTGTGTAGAAGGACATGTATTAGTTTCAGGATAAGCTAAGTAGAGGAGGATTTGAAGAGAAATAGATGGTTAAAATTTTTTACGTTTCTACTGTGTCAAGTCCACCATCCTTTGTCCAGGCAGAGCTGTGCAAATTATTTACTTACAGTATTCACTTCAGTTGCTCAGTGCACGTATAAACAGTGTTGCTAAAGCTCTGCATGTCCCAATTTCTTGTGGAGGTATTTGGTGCTTGCCACGCTGGCTCCTGGACTTATAAGCAAGCAGTGTGTCACTGTGTTGAGGCTTCCAGGTTTGAGGGCTTTGGAGAGCCAGACAGCAACCCTTCTTGGGAGGACTGAGAGTACTAAACACCTCAGAGTGGATTCACCCAGCCTCCTCTCTGCGCCGGCTTTACAGCTTTGGTCTCGCTGTCCCAAACTTTGCAAACACAAGCACCCGCTCCCCACTTACACAATATTCCGTGGGGATGTGGCAGCGCAGATACATGGAAAACAATGCAGTTGGCAAGAAAAGGTGGGTTAAAATAAAACAAGGAAAAAATTAAAGTATGCAGCTGGCACAAAAACACTGTTTATGTACAGTGAGTGTCACCCATACAAAAAAGTATCAGGGCTATACTCTATTATTAAATATTTTGAAAGTCTGTCCACAGGAACCTGATGAATTTTTGTTAAGGATGCTAACCTGCTCTGCCTACCAGCACAAATGCAAAAAAAAAAAAAAAAAAAGGTTATGAGCTGTGTGACGCATTAAGTGGGATTTAACTCAAGCTTATAACACCTAAATTTATGTGTCTGAACTTAAGTATCTACACATGAGCTAGGAATCCAATCTTCCATTACAGTGGAGCTTGGACAGTGATTCAACTCATTCAGAAGCGAACACCTATTGGTGTGTTGGCTGAATTGTGTTGTAACACTAGCCATATTGACTAGGCTGCTGTTGACTATAAAGCAAAGATGCTTACCTCACCACAGACACCTCCATTTCGATACCTAAATTTAGTTGTCATAAGCTGAATCCATTTCTCCCCTCACTCTCCTTATAATTTACTTTTCTCAGCCTTCTACTTCACGTAAAACAACTTTCATCCTGAATAGCCAGTGTGCACTCATAATTCCCCTTGCACACATATCTGAAGTACTGAATTGCTGTGTTAAAAATAACTTAATTTTTGGAGTAGGCATTCACATCACAGATCATCTACTCATGCAAGTTTTCCTAAACATACACAGGTTCATACTTCAGAACAATCTAACATCCTGTATTCCACTTACTTATGCACATTAATTCACATTTAATGAAGATTACGTGAACTATGAAAGAATCACTGAAAATTTTGCATACATGACCAGAAAGTAGCTGGAATTTAAAATAAGTGATTAGAATGAGTGAACTGAGAACAATGGGAGCGATGTAGCAGGAGGTAAGTTAACATAACATGTATTGCATTGTAAATAGTATCAGAAGAACTTGCTTATTTCCATTTATTTTTGGTACTGTGATGTCCAACAACCTTAATTCAAAATAGAAAAAGCAATTTTGTGTGCCAATACACAAACAAAGGAGGAGATATTTAGGTACAGACAAAGGATAGGCACCAATCTTTTCCATGATGTTCATTAAAATGTTTTCTGTTTGGGGATTTTTTTCCTAATTCTACCTTGTTAACTTATTAGGCTGAATGTTATCAGTTCTGTTGTTGTGGAACTCTTACAGTCTGCAAAAACTGTGCATCATATTAAAATCATCAAGCTTTAAAACAATGTTAAAGGAACCAAACCAAAGAAGTGTTAATAATTTTTAAAAGGTAAAGTAAAAAAGGCAAAATAGTTGGATGCTGTCTGCTGATATTACTCCTATTTCAGAAAAATCTGAGATTCTTATGATGATGTTTCATCTTGAAGCAAGTAAAAATAAGTTATATTTTATTTA